CCGCGAAGCCTGCAGCGCTGCGTGGCCGTCTCCACCTGCTCTCCCCCCCCTCCCCCCTCTCCCCCCCTCCCGCATGATCTCCTGCCCCCCCTTTCCCGCCGTTGGTGCTCTTAATTGTCAGCTGCTTGGTTTTCGCCATGCCTAATGAGTAGATCGACAGTAATTTTTTGTTTATTAGCGTTTCCTCCTCAAACCCTGATCGAAACCAACCATACAATAAAAACCGCGACCCTAACTAAGCATAAACCTAGATCTACGTTGCCCCTGAAGCGATCTTAAGTTTAAGAAGAAAAAACAGCCGGGCGTTTGGCTGGTTTGGCTCTGGAAATCATGGACGACGTGTTGAGGAATGTGACTGACTGAAATCGAGATCTAAAAATGGACCCGCAAAACTTCGAATTTCGGAATTTGTATGCCCACCCACCCCAATGTCGCGACGAGTTTTTCGTAAACTTGTCGAGTCCAGGAAACTCGACGAGTCTGGAAAAATTTCGCCATGGGGCCCGAGCTTAAACCGAGTTTTTTTTAACTCGGCGGGTAAAACTCAACTCGGCCTGGTCAAGTTTTTTCAACGGGTGATCGCACTCGACACTCGACCAGTAACGAGTCCCCCGATCGAGTCGAGCTTGGAAACTCGACTCTTTGCCCATGTCTAATGTTGTTCTTGTGGCCGTCTGGAAACTGGGATTATCGCAATGAGCGGTGTGGTATGGAGTGTATCCTTGTTGTAGTCCTGTGAGGGGAATCTCTTACAGGAAAGAGCTTCAAGCAACGACTCGCATTGACATGACCTTGTACACCTTTCTTTCTGAACACACAGGTATTTGAATGGGAGCGGACTTGCCTGCCCTCCTGATAACACCACGTGCACGGTACCTCAAGACCTTCAAACTGCCTTCTGCCTCCAATGCCCTTCCTTCTGCACCACTTGCGTCAAGCCCTCACCTCGTAAGCCGGAATCTGTTTTCTTTGCTTACTTGTCCCCCTTGTGCAAGTTTTTTCTCCTTGAGTGACTCTCGCATTCAGGTTCGCGTGTTATGAGTCGATTCGACTCAAAAATCGTCTCGCATTCTGGTTCACTGAACGTGTCCCGGTTCACCCCCCTGCACTCCACCCCGCTCTCCACACATGGGGGGGCACCATGGCAGCAGCGAGCGTGCTGCTGGGGGCACCATGGCATGGCATGGCTGGGGGGCACCATGGCATGGCATGGGCGGGCACCATGGCATGGCATGGCATGGAGGGGGCACCATGGCAGCAGCAAGCTTCACCGGTTTTGATGTACATCCTGGAAAACACCAACCAATCAAAATGGCATCCTGGAGAACACCAACCAGTCAAAATGGCATCTTGAAAAACACCAACCAATCAAAATTGCGTGCTGGAAAACACCACCAATGAAAATGGCAATTTGGAAAACACCAACCAATCAGAATGAACGCACATATGCTTCTCTTTAACCCAAAAATATTCTGAGTGTCTCACTGCTTGCGTGGAAATGCTGTGTCTTCATCCCTTCCCATATCCATCCCTTCCCCTCCCATATCCCCTTCCTCCCATGCCCATCCCCTCCATTGGCCCCTCCAGCACCACCCTCCCCATTGCCTGGTAACACTGCAGTGTCCCCATCCCCCCCCACTGCCTCCCCAGCATCCCCTCCCCCACCTGCAACGCCCTCCTCCGAGCCTGGCGGCCTGTCAGTAGCAGCCATTGCTGGCATTGCCGTGGCTGCTGTTGCATCCCTACTGCTTCTTCTGGCTGGCGGGCTGCTCTGTTGGAGGGGCTACAGGAAAGAGAGCGGGACAGCACAGGAAGCAGCGACAGCCGACAAAGAAGGCGGAGATGCAGCAGCAGTACTGCAAGTGAAAACGGATTCGGAAGGTGCATATGCGGCTCTTTTCCTCTCCCTTCCTCTTTGTCTTGCAATCCTTGTCATCGCAAATATTCTGCCACAGTGCGTTTGACTTCACACCATAGGAAAGGCCATGGGTGCGATACCGGAAGCCTTGCATGTCATCTGGCAGCACAGAGTACTCGCGGAAGCCTTGCATGTTCTCTGTGTGTCAACTCATATCCCGCATCGCACAAGCAGGTCTGGCTCGCGGGCAGCGTGGCGGCCTCGCCCTGCAGTGATTACTCGCTGGATAAAGTCCAAGTGCACTGTTTTCGGCACCTCTCCTCCTCATACCATGAGTGAGCAGGTCTGGCTCGCGGGCAGCGTGGCGGCCTGTCACTGCATTGCACGGAGTACCCCCTGGATGAAGTCCAAGTGTGCTGTGTGTGTGCTGTGTGCTTGATCTCCATCCCATGAACTTGCAACTTCTCTCCGACTATACCCCTCATACCATGCATGAGCAGGTCTGGCAGGCAGCGTGGCGGCCTCGCACTGCACGGAGTACACTTTGGAGGAAGTGCTCACAGCCACCAGCAACTGGGCGAGTGACAACCAGCTGAGGTCGGGCTCCTTTGGTGACGTGTACAAGGGCGTGTCTCCGCGCGATGGCACCACCCCGTGGGCCGTCAAGCGAGCCAAGCTGCTTGAAGCTGACTTCCAGCGAGAAGTAAGGGTCTTTTAATGTGGCATGCTTTCACCTTGGCACTCCCTCCCCGAGAAGATGTAACCGATTTCATTTCGAAAACCAATAACTATGCTGGCATGCTTTCACCATGCACAACCTATCCATTTTTCATTCATGCACACGCTAGCTATCCATTATCAATTCATGCAGCAAAAGTATCAAGTCTCTGAAAGAAACTAGGAGCTATAGAAACTTGAGGAAGAATCGTTAACATTAGCTCAAGAGAGCACAAGGTTATACAAGGAAGAGAAGGTTGGAGGGAAAAGGTGAGTTTGACCATAGGTTGGGTTGACCGGGGAGTGAGGCAACCTTAGGTCAAGTGGGGTTGGTATGGCCATGCTTTGTGGAAGTAAGGCAACCTTAGGCCCACTTGGGTTGGGTTGGCCTCACTTGTGGGAAGTGGGGAAACCTTAAGCCCAAGTGAGTTGCATGTGGGGGATCCACCACAATTGGGTGGATTGGCACCCCACAATGCAAGACTACACCCAAAGTTGGGTGTAGTCCCAACCCAACTGTACAGTACGATTGCTGTACAGTCACAAGTGTTGGCATGCTACAATATATATTTCTAACAGTCTCCAAACTGTAAGAAATATGGACCTCCAGTCAATCCCATGATGGCATGTGGACCTTCAGTCAATCCCATGATGGCATGTGGACCTCCAGTCAATTCCATGATGGCATGTGGACCTTCAGCCAATCCCATGATGGCATGTGGACCTTCAGCCAATCCCATGATGGCATGTGGACCTCCAGCCAATCCCATGATGGCATGTGGACCTCCAGCCAATCCCATGATGGCATGTGGACCTTCAGCCAATCCCATGATGGCATGTGGACCTCCAGCCAATTCCATGATGGCATGTGGACCTCCAGCCAATCCCATGATGGCATGTGGACCTTCAGCCAATCCCATGATGGCATGTGGACCTTCAGCCAATCCCATGATGGCATGTGGACCTCCAGCCAATCCCATGATGGCATGTGGACCTCCAGCCAATTCCATGATGCCGTTCTCCTCTCGCAGGTGCGACAAATGGCCGACAAGAACCGTCCCAACATCGTGCGGCTTCTTGGGTTTGCCGTTGGAGGGGACATGAGGACACGACTAGAGCAAGTCTTGATCTACGAGTTTGTTCCGAATGGCGACCTTGAGAAGTGGATGAGTACAGGTATTTAAGTCTCTCTTTGCCATGCTCTTTCTTGTTTGACAAAACGAGAAGCTCTCACATACTTGTGTTTCTATCTCACACACACTTGTATATGTATCTCATACACCCTTGTATATGCATCTCACACACACACGCACATGGACATCACACAATCTTGTGTAATGCTTGTGTTTGTTTCTTGCATACACTTGTGTATATATCTCGCACACGCTTGTGTATCTATTTCACACACACTGTGGATATAACTCAGACTTTCATGTACCGCTTGTGTGCGTGTCTTGCACACGCATCTCGCACACGCCTGCATATATTCTTCTGCAGAAACACCATTTCGCCTCACCTTGAAGCAGCGGCTGGACATCCTCATTGGTGCGGCACGTGGATTGGATTATCTCCACAGCTTTGGCCTCGTGCTTTGCGACATCAAACCCGCCAACATCCTCCTCACCGCGGACATGCAGGCAAGCTTCTTACTGCCTGCTATCATGAGATCATGCTGTCAGTTGTATCTTCGGATTCGCTCTTCAAGTTGCACAATCTAAAGCCACGGCATACATCCTCCTCATTGCAGACATGCAGGCAAGCAATTTGCTTACGTTTGGCAGTTTTCCCGCCTAGGTCGTGCCATGTCACACAAATTGCACCGGAAAGAAAAATGGAACACGCATATGCTTGTTGTTATCATGGTGCAAGGACTATGCCAAAGAATTGAGCTCCATCAATTGGTTTGACCTTAAATAATGGTTATCATGGATGCTACATAGCAGTCAGTATGGACGTCTATTAAGAACAGTAAGTAGCTTGTGAGCGAGTCTGCTAGACCTTCTATGTGAACACAACGCTGTCCTTGCAGTCCAAAACCACCCATGTGTTTGCTTTTAATTCCCTGCTTATCAATATCCCTCAACACAGGCCAAGGTTGCGGACTTTGGACTTGTGAGGGTGGAGGAGGGCACGACAGTGGGGACCACTCGAGTGATGGGAACACCGGGCTATGTGGATCCCATCTACTCCCAGACGTCAAAAGCAACCCGGGCCACTGATGTCTACAGGTGAGCTTGCATTCAAGACAGCTAATTGAGCTGCAACCTTTGGAGACTGGGTGCAAATGCGTGTGCTCAAAGGCTGTATCTATCATGCACACCCCACGTATCATGTCTTCATTTATCTACACATATGTGGATCATGTCACACTGTTTGTGTGTGCGATACTCCACACCCCACCCCAACGGCTAAGACCCCACCCTCAATGCAGCTTCGGTCTGCTCATGCTTGTGGTAGTCGTCTCTACAGCCGCCCACTGTATAAAAAGGGTGGGAGGTACATAGCACCTCTCCTGATGCTCTCAGTTCCTTCCCCTCTCTGTGTGCAGCTTCGGTGTGCTCATGCTTGTGGTCCTCACCGGGCGAATCCCATCCGGCACAGGAGATGGGGAGAACGTCCACATTCTGACATGGGTAAGCTCAATCGACCAGTGTCATGCGCACGCCATGACATGGGTAAGCTCAATCGACCAGTGTCATGCGCACGCCATGACATGGGTAAGCTCAATCGACCAGTGTCATGCGCACGCCATGACATGGGTAAGCTCAATCGACCAGTGTCATGCGCACGCCATGACATGGGTAAGCTCAATCGACCAGTGTCATGCGCACGCCATGACATGGGTAAGCTCAATCGACCAGTGTCATGCGCACGCCATGATATGGGTAAGCTCAATCGACCAGTGTCATGCGCACGCCATGACATGGGTAAGCTCAATCGACCAGTGTCATGCGCACGCCATGACATGGGTAAGCTCAATCGACCAGTGGCATGCGCACGCCATGACATGGGTGAGCTCAATCGACCAGTGGCATGCGCACGCCATGACATGGGTAAGCTCAATCGACCAGTGTCATGCGCACGCCATGACTGTCTGTCGCAATGGCATTGAATGGTACACATTGCATGACTGTTGCTCATGGCATTGACTAGTACACATGGCTGACTGTTACTCATGGCATTGACTAGTACACATGGCATGACTGTTACTCATGGCATTGACTGCTACACATGGCATGACTGTTACTCATGGCATGGTTGTCACACCTTGCATGGTTGATGGTAAGAACAGCTCCATTCCAAGAGGAGTATATCTCCAGCACGACCAGGGCTGTAGCTATCAGTGTGTTTGCGCTGATTGCCTTTGAATTCCAGGGCTAAATTCTCCATGAAACCTGAAATTGATGGGTTGCGGAAAATCTGGCCCAGAGCCGTTTCCCGGATTTAGGGTTTAGTGTTTCCCTCAGAGCCCCTCCAGGAACGTGTCATTTTTGCTCTTAAACTTGTTGCTGTCATCTTTACCATGTTGCCCACCACCTCCATTTCCCTGAGGCGGAGGATCAACTCTCCTCCAACAAACCAGCCTCCCTCAAGGACCCGGGCATGGATGCCCCGGATGATGCTGTGCTGCGCCTGGCCCAGCTGGCCCTCTCCTGCACCGTGGAGCGCACTGCAAGCCGGCCCAAGATGACAGGCGTTGCCAACGAGCTGCAGAAGATCAGGAATGAGGTGGTGGGCACGGAGGAGCTGAGTGCAGCAATCAAGGTGGACGAGCAAGCCCAGGAGATGAAGGGCTCGTCTACTGCAGATGCTAATCTACAGTGCGTTGACAACCTCCTCGAATGAAAACTTTCTGACGGCCACCTTGCTGCTTGACATAACTTCTTGGCCATCGTTTGGTTGTGATAGTTATGTAGTTTTTAAAATGGTTGAAGTGTGGAATTTTGAGTCGACTCAAAAGTCACCTCGATGATTCAGTAGTTTTTTTATCTGATTGAGGTGTGAGGACACTTGTTACGGTATTGAGATGTAGGTAGGGAACACCAAGCCCCTAGATATCAGCCTTTTTACGCTGATTCAACGTAAAATCAGGCATCTTTTTTTACTTTGGCTGATCCATCAGCTTTTTGGGTTGCGGAGCAACCTATTGCAATCGATCAAAATTATTTTTCTTTTCCGCGATTTTTTTTTATCCTAGAAATTTTTGAAAAAAAAGGGGGGAAAATCTGGATCAGTTTGATAATCCAAACTTACCGTACATGCTATACTTGTTTGCCCTTCATAATATTTTTACTGATGAAGACAACTCCATATCTTTTTGTTGTAAATCAATTGTCTGAATATATTTGCAAGACTTCTGATGAATGTTAGTGAAATTCAATGACCAACCAAACGATCATTGCATTTCTCCTCGTGTATATCATCTAGTATACACGAGACATATTCATCAAATGAATTGATGAATATATCTTATCGTTTTCAAACAATTTGTACGGTATTAATTATACTACCTCTTCCCTAGCCTAGCATGGGGGGGAAGTCAGCAGTATAAACAATAACCGTAACAACGCAATACAATCTGCAAATCTCAGAAAAATATATACACCGATCAAGTCCAGTTGAAAATGGCTTCACTTTGATAGTGGTACACCACTCAACCTTCTGTGACTATGATCGGCAAGATATCTTTTTGAAATATGCAGACATGCATTGCGGTTGCAACAAGAGACGTATCAATACAAAAAAATAAACAAAGCAAACAATTATTCAAAATTAAAAAAATCACTCCAATAATTGCTTCATCAGTTGTACGAGACATTCCTTTCTATCCCACCAACGAACCAGTACATGCAATAAAAAAAATCCAGGCATCAATTGCAAGAAAAAAGAAAGAAAGGAGGGAATCCAAGTTTAGGGGAAACAAAAAATGACAAAATCAAGAGAATGACAGATATTTGAAACTCCAAGACAAAACTCAGAGTATTGAATTCCCGGGAGAAAAAAAAAAAAAATGAAAAGAGCAGCGGTGAAGGTTACAACCGGAAACCGAGAATGGCAAAACTCAATTATCATATTAGAAGTTTAAAAGGCAAAACAAAAACATAGAATTTATATAGGAGTTACAAAATAGGGAATCAAAAACAGACCACATAATAACAAGGTGAGAAGCAGAAGCAGTGATGGATAGGAAGATTGAGGGATCATAATAAAAAAGAGATGATGGAAAAAAATAAAAAATGTTTTGTTAACACAAAGAAATGGACACAAAGAACCAGAAATGAGGAAGCATGTAGAAACAGAAATAGAAGAACAAATAAATGAGTAACAGAAACAAGAACAGAAGAAAGGAAATGGAGAAAGAAAATAGTGAAAGGAGAAAATGACAAGGGAAAAATGAGAAATACAAAAACCCACGAAGTATGGAAAGGGAAGAAATTGACAGCATGGAAGGAGGAAACAAGGACAGGAGCAAGAAAGGAAGGAAGGATCAAACTGAAAGATGGAGAGAAGGATGAAAAAGGAAAAAGAAAAGAACGAATGAGGAAAAAAGAAGGAAATCAAAGGAAACGAAGTCATCTAGAAAAAGGATGAGGTGGATACGAAACAGAAAGAATTATTTTGATTGGTCACAAGAGGTTATATTCATTCCAATAAGATGAGAGGAAACGGGAAGAAATGAGAGGAAAACGCAAAGATAATATCGGAATGAAGAATCAAGTACGGCCGCAAGGCATAAGTGACAGACTTATGAACTAACAAAAAACACAAACAGGGCTAGGAACAATATGAAACGAACGGGATGATACAATCAGAGAGATAAGACACTAGGGTGCACAAGAACGCAACAAAGAGAATCACAAGATACAAAGACTCGAATAAATTTTGGAATAAAAGCATAGGAAGGAAAGAATAGAGTGGGGAGGGAACATATGTACGTAAGCAACAACGTTTGGGAGATAAGAACAGAGAGAGCAAGAAATTAAAATGGCAAAAAACGGAGAAGGAAAGTGGAAAAACGTAAACTAGAGAAAAGACGATAACAAGATTGAAAATGGATAGGACAAGTTCGAAGGGAAAAAGAGATGGATGAAATGGCAGAGAAAAGGAGAAAACCAAGAGATGATGAACAACGTAGAAAACAAATGAGGATAATAAATAGAAACTCATGGAAAGAACAACGGTTAAGGTACCAACCTATGGTTGGAATTGCTATGAACTAATAAATCAACATACCTTACTAGGTCGAAATGGCCAGAACGTCCCAACAAAACGCTATGTCAAACAACTAAGACGCCTACTAACCTAACCACGGAACAGCAATAGGTATTAGGTATTAGGCACAAGGAATTACGAGCTTACACGTATCCAAGTAGCTGGTTGATGTGAGCCAGCGCGCTAGGAAAACGAGAAGAAATGCGCCTGGTGGGCCCAGCAGCAGATCGAGAAAAACGAGAGAGAGAAAGAAAAAGAAACCCTAGTGAGAAAGGCAGAACAATACGATTATATTTTTAAGCAATATTTGAGCGAACCGTATTCATGTCGATGTGGCTTAGTTAATCAGGTTTGCCGTCACAGGAATGAAGACACAAGTTCGAGTCCTGCTTGACGCAAGATTTTGAGTACCTGGTCTTATGCGAATGTTGTAACAATTAACAGGAAAATACACTCAAAACATTGCTCTAAAACTTTGTAAACAGATGCACACATTTGTTTTCCCTTCTTACAATGCAATGTGCATTTCTGGCTATTTTAATGATAACTCTGATGATGTTGATATAAATGATTTTTTCTAAAAGGTTGATACATTAACCTATTTAATGAAACACCAATAGTTATGTCTAGATCAATAATCCAGTACCGTGCTTAAACGATTCTTGGCTCCGCAACCCTTGGACGTTTTTTTTTTAACCATGGCTGAATTTTCAGCCATTTTGTTTGTACTCGTATCGCCCCCTAGTCCAACCCATTCTCTCGCCTCGCCCCCTAGCCACCTCACCTCGCTCTCTCTCTCTCTCTCACCCCTCCCCCCAGCCCGCGTCGTCCTCTCCACCTCGTTTCTCCACTTCCCCCAGACCGCGTCCCACAGCCCATCCGCTTCTCCCGCCCCTCCCCCTTGCCTACCTGCCTTTCCTACCGCTCCCCTCCCCACCCCGCAACTCATCCGCCTCTCTCGCACCCACTTGCTTCTCTTGCCCCCTATTTATCTCGCCACTCCAGTCCCTCCCAACCAGTTGTATTAGTGTAAATTACCCAGATAGACTGATTAGAAGGGTGAAATTTGGGGGTCACATCGATGCTCTAGGTAATGGTTTTTAGGAAATGGAATTCCCCTGAGTACAATGAATAACGATTTAAAACCCAAGACTTAAATTACTCAACAGAAGTGAACACTAAAAACTAGGTTCGGAAGGCAGGCAGACAAAGGTTTGGTTGGGTGGCGAGGCACTTTCACTCGCGAAACCAATTTGCGACAAAATTTTCCCGCTTCCCATGTTGGGTGGGGTTCTTCCCACAGCAACCAGAAAAGCGCGTGCATGCTTGTGCACACTTTGAGATAGAACGCAGAGTATTAGGCATAAAGCACGATACCTGTGGACAGGGCGTGGCGTTCACCCGAGAGGAATCAGAGGTGCCTTACGAATATGGGTGGCACGGATTTGGATGATGACGCGCAAAGATAGTGTTCACCAAGTGAAGAGTTTATTGTCGAAATACATGTTTATGTGCAACTGATGCGTAAACTCGCGGCAAAAATCGAATCCCACCCGTTCGCCCACGCCGACCCTCCTCCACTAACCCTTGCTTTCCTTTACTAAGGTCCCACGCTTCCGCTCTCAGTCGCCCACGTCGTCGCCATCGCTTCCGCAGCTCGTCCCGTTCGCGACCCCGGTCCGATGCCTTGCGACCCCAGCCCGTCGCGAACGCTCCTCCCGTCGCCTTCACTTCCCCACCGTCGCCTTCACTTCCCCACCGTCGCCTTCACTTCCCCACCGTCGCCTTCACTCCTCCTCGTCGCCTGCACTTCTCCCACCCCGTCGCCTTCTCTTCCCCCCATCGCCTCCACTTCCCCCCCTCCCATTGTAATGCCTGTGGGCTGGTTAATGGGCATTCCGCTGCGCCAAATAACACCCTCGTTTTGACCCAGTGGGTAGCGAGGTGTTATACCCGTCGCCTTCCCTTCCCCCTCCCATCGCCTTCACTCCCCCCCCCCCCCGCCCCCCCGCGTTGCCTTCATTTCCCCTCCCATCGCCTTCACTTCCCCCACCCCGTCACCTTCACTCCCTCCCCCTCCTCCCCCCTCCCCGTTGCCTCCATTTCCCCCTCCTGTCACCGTAACTTCCCCCTCCCGTCACCTTCACTTCCCCCAACTGTCGCATTGACTTCCCCCTCCCGTCGCCTTCATTCCCTCCCCCCCCTTCCCCCCCCCCGTTGCCTTCATTTCTCCCTCCCGCTGCCTTCAGTTCCCACTCCTGCCCCCTTCACTTCCCCCACCCCGTCGCCTTCACTTCCTGTCAGAATCAATAGGAGTGGGGCCTAGGCTTAGTAGCCTAGGCCCACACTAGGAGGTAGTAGGTTGTGCCCTAGGACTAGGGTTTGTGGTATACGAAGGAGAATTGTGAGAATGGGAATGATGATGAACTAGCAAGCAGCAGGATACATATAGGAAACCCTAAGGGGTTGTACTCACTATTGAGCACCCCACTGCAGGCTAGACAATAACATTCTGACACACCCCCATAGCCAAAGTGGGGTGCAATCAGTACAATGAGCAGGCAGTGCAATAGTTCACAAATATGAGCAAAGCTAGTGGCAGTCACAGGAGGCCAGTGAGGAGGAGGAGGAAC